TGCCCGTAAGACCTGCTCTAGATAGTGCTCTCCGATTACCTGAATGTCTTGGCCTAAGGTGAGCTTGCTCGCTTCTTTGACTAACACAGAGGTGGCCGCTAAGGCCCTCAGGCATGCTGGCCAGCCAGAAGCTACAGGGTCAAGTCTCCTTGATAGGTAGGCTACAGGTCTTCTCCATGGACCGAGCTCTTGGCATAGCACCCCTAATGCAGTTCCTTCTTTCTCGGCTATAAATAGTTGAAATGGCTTAGATAGGTCCGGCAGAGCTAGCGCCGGGGGCCGCGACGAGGGCCTCCTTAAGGGCTTGGAAGGCCCTTCTTGCTTCGCTGGTCCATTCAAACTTCTCTTCCTTTCCCCGGGTTAGCTGGTGCAGTGGTCGGGCCAACTCTGCAAAACCTAGGATCCAAAGCCGACAGTATCCTACTGCTCCGAGAAATTCCCGTACCTGTCTCTTGGTGGTAGGTTCTGGGATTTGTAGTACTGTTTGAATCCTCTGATTGGATAAGGTTCTTTGCCCATTCTGCAGGTTATACCCCAGGTAACTCAGTTTGAGTCACAATCTGGGCCTTCTTGGCTGACACGCGGTACCCCATTTTCTCTAGTTCTCGGAGTAGGTCCTTAGTAGCAGCCTTGCACTTCTCCGCACTCCTCTCCGCAATGAGGATGTCGTCCACATACTGCAGGAGTACTGTCGTGGGGTGGGAGATGCGGAAAGCCTGCAAGTCCTTACCTAGGGCCTCACTTAAAATGGTAGGTGAGTTCTTAAATCCTTGTGGTAGGCGCGTCCAGGTGTACTGGCCTACTAATCCATTTTCAGGATTATTCCACTCGAAAGCAAAGATCTCTTGGCTTTGACGGGCTAGTGGTATGCAAAAGAAGGCGTCCTTTAAATCTAGTACTGAGTAATGAGTATGAGTCGGGGGCAAAGAACTCAGCAGGGTATATGGGTTGGGCACCGTGGGATGTATAGTCTCTACCTGCATATTTACTTCTCTCAGATCTTGAACTGGCCGGTAATCTGCCGTCCCGGGTTTTTGTACTGGTAACAAGGGAGTATTCCAGGCTGACTGACACTCCCGTAGAATACCTGCTTTTAGAAGTCGCTTGAGGTGTTGGGCGATTCCCTGCCGTGCTCGGCTGGGTACTGGGTACTGTCTTACCCGAATAGGGCTGGCAGTGCTTTTCAGCTGGACTAGCACTGGAGGTTGGTGGAGTGCTAGGCCTGGTGGATTAGTCTCTGCCCAGACCCCGGGAATCTCAGAGAGAAGGGTTTCTGGTACTCCTTTCTCCTCCTTACTTTCCTGGAGGGTTGCCAGCAGGTATTCTTCTGAGATTGGCACAGTTACCTCTACCCGGGCAGGTCCTGGAGTATTGGTCCCGGGCGCCTCAGTCTGCTTGAAAGTGATAGTGGCCTGAAGTTTCTGCAGTAAGTCTCTCCCGAGTAGTGGGTAGGGACAATCCGGAACCACTAGGAACGAATGGGTTATGGTGCCCAGCCCCAAGTCTGTGACCCTGGCAGTAGTCCATGGGTAAGATTCCTCTCTACCCGTAGCCCCTATGATCTTGGTAGTTGTCTTTTGTGCCTTTCCTTGTAGCTGCTTTAAGACTGAGAAAGTGGCCCCCGTGTCTACTAGGAAATTTATTGGCTTCCCTTCGACGTTCAGAGTGACCATGGGCTCTTGGGGGCCAACTGGTATAGAGCCCCGGCCCCGTCAGTCTAGAGTCTGGAGCAGGACGGGGGTCCTTTCCCCTAACCCGATTGGCCTGGCTCTGCGTTTAGGGCAATCTCGTTTCCAATGTCCTATTTCCTTGCAGTAGGCACATTGATCTTTGTTTAAGGGGGTCCGCCATTGCTGGGCCCCATCCCTACCTTTCTCCCTCTGGCCAGGTTTTTGAGCTGCTATGAGGATCTTGGCTACTTCTTTTGCTCTACCTATCTCTGGGTCATCTCTGTTTACATAAACCTTCTGTGCAATTTCTAATAGTTTGCTTAGGTTTTCCCCTTCAAAACCTTCAATCTTCTGTAGTTTCTTCCTAATATCTGACGTTGCCTGGGTAACAAAGGCAATATTGACAAGCCTGCCATTTTCTGGCGCCTGAGGGTCAAGGGGGGTATACACCCAGTAAGCCTCTAGAAGCCTCTCTAAATACGCTGCTGGGGATTCCTCTCTCCCTTGGGTGACCTCACTTACCTTACTGAAATTGGTTGGCTTTCTTGCTGCCGCTCGTACCCCCCTCAGAAGAGCTCGGCGATACTGGAGTAGAGCTTCCCTCCCTGCGCTTGAATTTGGGTCCCAGTCCGGAGGCTGGTTGGGGAGTACATCCCCAACCCCCCTCCGGCTTCCTCCCAGCCCTTCCTCTTCCTCCCTCACAGCTTTTTCTGCCTCCCGGAGGATTCTCTCTCTCTCTTCAGAGGTGAAGAGAGTCTGGAGTACTTGCTGGCAGTCATCCCACGTAGGCTGGTGGGTCCTGAAAATGGTCTCTAGGAGAGAGATTAGACCCTGGGGCTTTTCAGAGAACGGGGGATTTTGAAGTTTCCAATTATATAAATCGCTGGTGGAAAAAGGGACATAGACTAGACGAGGGGTACATGAGCCGGGGCATCAGGACCTGGTGGCACCTCCCGGAGGGGCAAAATGGCGGCGCCTCCCGGTGCGGGAGGCAACCCGCATAGGGTTCCCCCCCTGGTGTGCGGGGGACTCATCAGCCCTTCCCCCGTGGTGGAGTCTGGTTGCGGGGGTAGGATTGTACGGCGGCGGGGCAGTTGGGGTAAGTAGAGGATCCTCTGGCTGTTCTGGCAGCACTGGGTATAAGCGAGGCTTCCCCTCTTTCTGCTCCTGCGGAGGAGCTTTCTCCCCAGACTTCACTCGGGGCTTTCTCTCCTCCCTCTCCTGTGAGGAGGGTTTCCTTCCCCCTCCGTGTCTTGGCCTAGTTGCCACACAGACACTCCGCCGCATTCTATTCCTGCCTGTCTGACAGCAGCGTATGTACCCCGGTCGCTCGGTAGCTATATCTATCTAAACATCGATATAAATCATCTGATCTGGATGGGGAACTCTGTAAACTACCCCTTGAACGGCATAGAGGAGAGGAAGGTCAAAGGTCCCTTCAGAGGGCCACCCTACGTCGAAGGTTGGCCATTCTAACTCAATGAAGGTCCGGAGAGTCTCAGGATCGGGTGGCGGCCCGCCGTACCCTCGGGCCCGCTTCTGAAAATCAGAAAAATTATTCAGAAGGCATTCTAGGGCAGTACTTGGTGTTGAGCCTCCTTTTCCCATTTTTGATTTCCGGCGCGAGACGTCAATAGCCTCGAGACCTAGTAGGACTAAGGCGATTAAGAGTCCACACACAAACACACAACGGGCCCCTCTATACTCAGTCCACTCACGCACCAACAGGCCGTGACGCACAACTTCAACTCTTTCACTCATTCAGGGGGCGCAGGCGCGGCGCAGGCGCTTCTGGTTAGAGCACGGAAATCGAAAGTGATCTTCTGCCGTAACCTGAACAGATGCTGCAGTTCCCCTAACCTGATGGGAGCAGTAGCTCTGACCCCTGAGGGCGTCCCCTCGTTCTTGGGGTCCCCTGGGCAGAATACCGGTAGCGTCCTACCTACTGCCTCAGGGCTCTGATGGCCGCGACCTCCCCAAACGGGGATCCCCTACAGATACTCAGGTACTTACTTACCAGGCCCGGCGTACGTCGGTTCTCCGAGGGCGCGTAAGATCCTGGACGAGCCCCCAAATGTTGTAGACAACCGGCGGGTGTATACACACTCTCGGAGCCAAAAATTAGTTTGGAAGAATTTAATTTTTGCCAAGGGGTCAAATAAAAAAATCTTTGGCCAAGCTTTACCTGCACAGGGGCGAACTTCCCAGATGTGATCGGAGCCACGTAGCTACTCAGAGCTACCAGATCGAAGTCGATTGGTGGGTGCTGCTACTGGCGGGCATTTTCTGGCGGGCCCTAGTTAGTTCCCTTATTTGGCTAGAATTTTGTTTGAACCTGAACGTTCCCCGATATTGCTATGGTTGACCAGTTGCTATTTACACAAGTCGGTTTCTGGAACTGACTTCCTGTTCAGAGGGTGGGGAAGCAACGTGTAATTTCCCATTGCTAGTGGCTACTACAAAGGCATTAGTTGGTGAGAGGTCCTGAGCCCCTAAGGAGGCCTTGGGGCCAGATGTTTGCCGCCAAAAGTATTAACAGCTGGGCCACCCTTGCTGTGTCCTTTGACTGTGAGGCCAAGCTCAGGTCAGCCCAACCTGGTTTTTCTCAGGTCCCCTCCCTTGCTCACACCATCTTCCTCTTCTAGGTTGGGTAGGTGACGTGGACGACTATTCGCTGCACGGGGGCTGCCTGGTAACTCGTGGTACTAAGTGGATCGCTAACAACTGGATCAATGTGGACCCCAGCCGAGCGCGGCAGGCGCTGTTCCAGCAGGAGATGGCGCGCCTGGCCCGCGAAGGTGACGCCGACTCGCAGCCAGAGTGGGACCTGGACCGGGCCTACCGCGACATGCACGTTGAGCTCTGAGGGAAGTGTCGGTCCCGGCTCCCAGCTGCAGGTCGCCCACCACCTAAGGTTGGGGACCCTGAAGCCCTTCTGTCCAGCTTCAGGCCGAAGATGTGGCCGATGTCTTGCCCGTCCCCGCCTCCAGTCGCGATTAGGGAACAGCACCAATATTCACGTTATTTATTGTATACAGACTCATGCCGCCTTGTCAAATAAAACCACACGGCTTTGAGCCCCTGGGCCGAAGAGCTCGGGTTGGTGGGAGGCGGTGGGGGAAGCGGGAGCGGAAGTCAGCCGGCGGCCCAGGGCGAGCGTCACGTGAGGGGGAGGAGCGGAGGTGGCCCCGCCAATCATGAGCTGGATTGCATGGGGCGGAGGTTCGTCATTGGACAGCGGTAAGGGAGAGTCTGAGCTCAACTACCTGTTGTCAAGGCCGCTGTACTTCGGCGGCGCTGCGGGGGCGGGGGGGGAGGCTCGTCTCGCGAGATTTCAGCTCCTCTCCCGGTCGTGGCAGCTGCAGCTGCTCGCGGGTCGACATGGACGCTTTGGAGGACTACATTTGGCCTCGGGCAACCTCGGAGCTCATACTCCTCCCGGTCACGGGTCTGGAGTGCGTAGGGGAACGGCTGTTGGCGGGTGAGGTTTAGTCTGAGGCGCGCTCGAGCGGAGAAGCCGAGCGCCCGCCTCGGCGGGACCAGAGAACAAAGGGATAGCCGGAGGAGGGGGACGGGCCGAGGAGGGAGGCCAGCCCGGAGGTGGGCGGGAGCCCTGGAGATGGCGGGAATGTGGCTCGGCCGGAGGGGCCCAGGAGAGGAAAACAAAAAAAAAATCTGATGTGGCTACTGAGGCCCTTCAGAGACTGCATCAGACGTGGAAAGGGCGGGTGGGACGGCAGGAAGGTGTGGGGAGACGCAGTCGTTTAAGAGGCGGGGGAAGGGGAGAAGAGAGGTGTGGTCTCTTTGATGAGTTGGGTGGGGGTTTGTCCTCTCCAGAGATGGGGAGGGGAGGTTGTGAATGGGGCACCCTCAGAAAGTGGGCGGGTCTGGGGTGTATCCTTAGAGGAGAGCGGGGTCTGGGAGGCGGGAGTGTGGCCCCCAGGGCAGGTTAGGCTCTTTCCTGGAAGGTTGCGGGGGGGGGGGGGGGAGCTGATGAGGCCTCTAACTAGGGTGTGATATAGAGAAAACCGGGATGAGACCTTTCTGCGTTGGCCAGTTCTCAGGAAGGCAGAGGCAAAGGCTGCCCTGAGATGGTTGGGATCCAAGAAATCCAATACATGCCATGTCCACCCCCCAACCTTTTCCCAGGGGAGCGGGGTTGGAAAGCACAAACCAGCAAAGGCCTGGGTCCTGAAGCTGCAGAGCTCTGAGAAGCAGTGAGGTCTGCCTGGAAGCCACGAGTGACAGCTGCTGCAGACATTTAAAGGCAGGGGACTGACTGTGAAGTATTGAGTGAGCTGCTACCAGTCCCGCGAGAGTAGGGATGGGATGGGGAGGGGTACCCAGTTTTGATCCGGTGTGGGGGCCTTGGGAGCTCATGGGTCCTACTGTGCACTAAACTGAGTCTCCTGGAGGAGCGGGAATAGCTAGACAGAAACCCAGAGAAGCACCAGACTGAACTAGGGGAAGAGCAGGAGTGAGTTTCTGACAGAGGATAAGCATGCCTTCAGGCTGAGAGAATTTGTCAGGGAAAAGGAATTCCTGTGCTGCTGGCACAGGGGTACGGTAGAGAAGACCAGAGAAACAAGCAGACACCAGTCAGTTTTAAGTCTCGATCTGGTTTTGTTTCTTAAGGGTTGTGGGGAGACCCCATTGAAGTGTTTCAGGCAGGGAAATGACTTGGGGAATACAGGGTAGAAGAAAACCAAGTGAATTCACTGCTTCTGTGACTTCCCGTCTGGTTGATTAGGACTTCATACATGGGGCATCTGTACCTTTATTACCATCATGTGAAGCTGTGCAGCTGTGTTTCTCCCCGATCCCCTCCATGGCATTCTCTCTAGCCCGACCTTTAGCCCTTCATTTTGTATTTCAACCGCACCACCCAGAGATCTCACTTTCCTCCTGTCATCAAACTTATTTTCTCCGTCAAGGAGTGTTCCCGCCTCCTACCCCCTCCTGCTTTTCCTTTGGCTAACCACTGCTCATTTTTGGTTCCTCAGCCTAATGTTCTGTCCTCAAGGTGGCCTCCCCTGACACCCAGTCCCGTTGGGTCAGGGCAGCTTCGGTCTCAGCACTTGGCATTTTGGATCAGATCATTCTTTGTGTGAGGGACTGGCTCTGCATTGTAGGGTGCTGAGCAGCACCCCTGGCCTCCACTCCCAGACGTCAGTAACACAGCTCACGGTTGTGACAATCAAAAATGTCTCCAGACATTGCCAAATATCTCCTGGAGGGAAGATGCCCCCCCCCCTCAAAAAACAACTGAGAACCACTGGAGTAGGCTTTCCCATTTTATGTTCTGAGAGTAAGCTATATAGTCCTTTCCTGGAACTTACCAAAATTACAACAATGTAGTTTACTTGAATGCTGTTGTTTAGTGTCTGCCTAGTCCATAGAGCAGGGTCTGTGCTTATCTTACTCACTGCTCCAGCATACAGTTCATTGTCTGCTTTATAATCGATGCCCACTGAGTATTTATTGAATGTCAGTAGATTGGTATTGCAGACTAGGAACGGCATGAGGGACTGTTAGGGTCATGTCTGGTTAAGAAGCGATGTTCTGGACCAGAGTCACTGTGGTGGGGATTTGCATGCTTTTTAGGAAATGAAATCCATGAACATAGAGACAGAGATGTGGGAAGTTAAGAGGACTGAGCCGTGGGCTTCCTGGTGTGGGGCTGGGGAATGGGCGGACTGTGCTGGTTATGATGAGCACTGAGAGAACTTGAGGATGAGCCGGTAGAATGGGAGGTGCCTGCAAGGCAGCTAGACAGCAGCCAAGGGCCACAAGAGCCCCTGCTGCCAAAGTGTGGGCTGCCCCTCCTATTTCTCTCATTGATATTGAAGGTGCGCAGGGAAGAAGCTCCTGGAAATCAGGAGGGGGTTCTGCCTTAGCCCCAGGGTGAAAAGATTGTCTTAGTGGGAAGGCCTCTCCCCTGGGGTTGGGAGCTTCGGGGGGAATTCACGTGCAGATAGATGAGGCTAAGGATTTGGGGACTAAAGCTGAGAGGGTTCCCATCTGAAGTGTAAGTTGTTAGGTGGGGTGAGGAGGAGACTGTGAGTGTGAGGGATTCATGGTTGGATTAGAATATCACCACTGAAAGTCCAGCTGAAGCTGACACCAAGGTGTTCAGACCTGCGGGATTGTCTGTCCTGGTACACTCATAGGCTACATGTGGAGAATCCCCCTGCCCTCTCCTCTTGTGGCTCATCAGTTAGATGGGGGTTCTGATGTGGCTCTTTGCCTCTGTCTAGGTGAGGGGCCGGATGTCCTGGTGTACAGCTTGGATTTTGGTGGGCATCTGCGGATGATGAATCGAGTGCAGAACCTGCTTGGCCACTATCTTATCCATGGGTTCCGGGTGCGACCAGAACCCAATGGAGACCTTGACTCAGAGGCCATGGTAGCTGTGTTTGGGAGCAAGGGACTCCGAATTGTGAAAATTAGCTGGGGACAGGGCCGCTTCCGGGAGCTCTGGCGCTCTGGCCTGTGGAACATGTCTGACTGGATCTGGGATGCACGTTGGCTCGAGGGGAACATGGCCTTGGCCCTGGGCCACAACTCAGTGGTGTTGTACGACCCTGTGATCGGGTGCCTCCTGCAGGACGTGCCCTGCACAGACAGGTGCACCCTCTCCTCCGCCTGTCTGATCGGAGACACCTGGAAGGAGCTGACCATAGTGGCAGGTGCCGTTTCCAATCAACTCCTGGTCTGGTACCCAGCAGCTGCTTTAATAGACAGTAAGCCTGTGGCCCCCGACCGACGGGTCAGCGGGCACGTGGGTGTAATCTTCAGCATGTCGTACCTGGAAAGCAAGGGCTTGTTGGCAACAGCTTCAGAAGACCGAAGTGTTCGCGTCTGGAAGGTCGGTGACCTTCGGGTGCCTGGGGGTCAGGTGCAGAATATTGGGCACTGCTTTGGGCACAGCGCCCGTGTGTGGCAGGTCAAGCTGCTGGAGAATTACCTGATCAGTGCGGGAGAGGACTGTGTCTGCTTGGTATGGAGCCACGAAGGTGAGATCCTCCAGGCATTTCGTGGCCACCAGGGTCGTGGGATCCGGGCCATAGCAGCCCATGAGAGGCAGGCCTGGGTGATCACTGGGGGTGATGACTCAGGCATCCGGCTGTGGCACCTGAAAGGACGTGGACACCCAGGCTCGGGGGTCTCAGCTCTCTGCTTCAAGTCCCATAGCAGGCCAGGTGCCCTCAAGGCTGTGACACTGGCTGGCTCATGGCGAGTGCTGGCAGTGACTGATGCAGGGGCCCTGTACCTCTATGACCTTGAGGTCAAGTGCTGGGATCAACTGCTGGAGGACAAGCGCTTCCAGTCCTACTGCCTTCTGGAGGCAGCCCCTGGTCCTGAGGGCTTCGGGCTGTGTGCCATGGCCAGTGGGGAGGGTCGCATCAAGGTTGTTCCCATCAACACTCCAACTGCAGCCATGGACCTGACCCTGTTCCATGGGAAGGTACACAGTGTGAGCTGGGCCCTGCGTGGCTACGAGGAGCTCCTGCTGTTGGCCTCAGGCCCTGGAGGTGTGGTGGCTTGCCTGGAGATCACAGCCGCTCCCTCTGGCAAGGCCATCTTTGTCAAGGAACGTTGCCGGTACTTGCTGCCTCCCAGCAAGCAGAGATGGCACACATGCAGTGCCTTCCTGCCCCCAGGTGACTTTCTGGTGTGCGGAGACCGGCGGGGCTCTGTGCTGCTGTTCCCCTCCAGACCAGCTCTGCTCAAGGATCTCGGGGCTAGAGGCGGGGCTGGGACTGGAGCTGGAGACCGAGCCCTGGGAGTGGATAGTGACAGAGGGGAGGGTGAGACAGCCTTAGCCAAGTGGGGCCCTGTGTCTGTCCTTCCTTTTCTACATGGGAAGCAAGGTGTGACCTCGGTCACCTGTCACGGTGGCTATGTGTATAGCACAGGGCGTGATGGTGCCTACTACCAGCTCTTTGTGCAAGGCAACCAACTGAAGCCGGTCCTAAGGCAGAAGTCCTGCCGAGGCATGAACTGGGTGGCTGGGCTCCGCATGATGGCTGACGGGAACATGGTCGTCCTGGGTTTCCATGCCAATGAGTTTGTGGTATGGAGTCCCCGGTCACACGAGAAGCTGCATATCGTCAACTGTGGTGGAGGGCATCGATCCTGGGCCTTCTCTGATACTGAGGGAGCTATGGCCTTTGCCTACCTGAAGGATGGGGATGTCATGTTGTACAGGGCTTTGGGTGGCTGTACCCGGCCACATGTGATTCTCCGGGAGAGCCTGCATGGCCGTGAGATCACGTGTGTAAAGCGTGTGGGCACCATCACCCTGGGGCCTGAGTTCGAGGTACCCAGCTTCATGCAGCCTGACGACCTGGAACCTGGCAGCGAGGGGCCCAGCCTGATCGACATTGTGATCACATGCAGTGAGGACACGACCATCTGTGTCCTGGCACTCCCCACAGCCACAGGCTCAGCCCACACACTTACTGCTGTTTGTAACCATATCTCCTCGGTGCGTGCAGTGGCTGTGTGGGGTGTTGGTACCCCGGGGGGCCCGCAGGATCCTTGGCCAGGCCTGACTGCCCATGTGGTGTCTGCGGGGGGCCGGGCTGAGATGCACTGCTTCAACATCATGGTCACCCTGGACCCCAGCACCCCGAGCTGCCTCACCTGCCATGTTATGCACCTTTCGTCCCACCGGCTGGATGAGTACTGGGACCGGCAGCGAAATCGGCACCGGATGGTCAAGGTGGACCCGGAGACCAGGTAACGTGCACTGCCCGGCAGGAGCAGCGGGTGGCATGGTGCAGGGCTGTGCTTGACAACTGTGTTCTCTCTGCAGGTACATGTGCCTAGCGGTGTGTGAGCTTGACCCACCTGGCCGTGGCCCCCTTGTGGCTGCAGCCTGTAGTGATGGGGCAGTGAGGTAAGAGCATTGGGCTTGGTTGGTGGGGGCAGGAGACAGGGTGCAGGATTGTCCAGATGGGTTCTGAGCTGGGCTGCCCTCTGCTCCCCCAGGCTCTTTCTTTTGCAGGACTCTGGGCGTCGGCTGCAGCTCCTGGCTGAAACTTTCCACCACAAACGGTGTGTCCTCAAGGTCCATTCCTTCACACACGAGGCACCCAACCAGCGGAGGTGAGAAGGGTGCATGATGATTCTGTGGGGGCCCCTGTTACTCTCCATCTCCCTCACTAGCCCAGCTGTCTTTTCCCGGCCCCCAGGAGACTGTTCCTGTGCAGTGCAGCCACTGACGGCAGCTTGGCCTTCTGGGACCTCACCACTGTGCTGGACCCTGGCTCCACTGCCCTGGAACCTCCAGCAGAGCCTGGGCTTCCCCACCGTAAGTAGCTCGGGAGCAGCCGTGGCTGTCCCTCCCCGTTTCCCACTTTGCCTTCGCCTGTGTGGCAGGCTGGGCCCTGACAACCATCTTCTTCCTCCAGGGCTGGGTAACCCCTGCCTGACCCTCCAGGCTCACAGCTCCGGTGTCAACAGCCTGCACACCTTGCCCACAGGCGAGGGCCATCTCGTGGCGAGTGGCAGTGAAGACGGCTCCCTCCACGTCTTTGTGCTTGCTGTGGAGGTGCCAGAGCTGGAGGAGGTTGGGGGTGCTGCTGAGCTGGTGCCCCATCTGCGTGTCCTAGAGCAACACTCTGTCCCTTGCGCACATGCTGCCCACGTAACGGGACTCCACATCCTAAGCCCAAGCCTCATGGTCTCCGCCTCCATTGATCAGCGGCTGACCTTCTGGCGTCTAGGGCATGGGGAGCCCACCTTCATTAACAGTACTGTGTACCATGTACCAGATGTGGCCGATATGGACTGCTGGCCTGTGAGCCCTGAGTTTGGTCACCGCTGTGCTCTTGGGGGCCAGGGACTTGAGGTTTACAACTGGTATGATTGAGGTGTCCTGCGGTGGCTGGCATGCTGGGCATGGGGCCTGCCCACAGACGGAGTGGAATAGGAGTGACCGTCTGTGCCCATGCCCAGTGTGCCTTGGGAGGCGGCGGCGGCTGCGGGTTCCCGGCTTCAGGGCAGGTGTTGCAGGTGAGTAAAGCCTGCCTAGGCAGACCAAGGGTGTGCCCCTAGTCTTTACAACAGAGCAGAACTTTATAACAATTTATTGTGGCTCCAGGTCTCTTAACAAAAGCTGTGTTTTTTTGTTTTACAGTTGATGACTTTGTGAACATTCCCAGATACTGGAACCTCTGTGGCCTTAGATGTAGTTCAGTGGAGGGAGACCTAGCATGGCCAGGCCAGTGTGCAGCACTTCACGCACAGCCCGTAGAAGCTGCAGACGGGCAAACATTTGGCCAAACAGGTGTGGTCGAGGCTCCTGGAGGAGAGAAGGGGCCTACTTGGTCTCATCCTTTGCTTCCTTCCCCTGCACTCCCACACACACCACGTTGCTACGTGCTTACCGTTAAGATGTGTACCCGATTGTAGTAGGAGCTGAAATCCATGCTCAGCTGCACCAGAAACTTGCACACCTAGACAGAGACTGAGTCACTGGCCTGTCTCTCTGCCCTCGCACCCCAGACCAGAATAAAGACAGTGTGGTGCCTGTCCCAGTCTTTCCTGCCTCACCATCTCTGCGTGTGCAGCTATGTGGAGCCCCGGGGCTGTGAGGTCCAGGGCTGCTGCCTGGCTCAGCAGGTCTGGGAAGGGGAGCACGCTATTGAAGAGCAGCAGCCACTCACCCTGTGGGGAGAAGGCTGCTGGGAGGGCGACTCTGAGCCACCTGCCAGTGTCTGCTGCCAAGAGGGGCACTCACCTCTTCACGGAGCAGGGAGAAATCCAGGCTGCTCACAGGTGGGAAAGCAGGGTACAGACCTTGTTCCACACTGCGCTTGTAACCCTCAAAGAGTGTAGCAAGACGGGCACAATTGTACATGACAAAGGTGCCACTCTTGGTCCCCTTGGTGGAAATGCTGTCGGCCAGGGCCACAAGGAGCTAAAGAACGGCACAGCTGCAGAGAGGGAGGGCAGCCACCACACAGCCTGTCGTTGCCGTCCCCCCGCCCCACCCCATCCTGTGGGGCACCCAGGCTCACCTGACTCTGTGGGGCCTTGCTGAGCATCTCAAACTTGATGGTTGCCACGGAGAGAACCCTGAAGGTTTCTGTCCAGGCTGGGTCTGAGAGAGTATATATAGGTCATTGGTCTCCACAGGCAAAGGGACCCAGTGCAGGGGTGCATATGACCTGCTGCCGCCACTGCCCCACAACATAGCCAGTCTCCCAAGCCCACCTTGTGCCAGGTCCCTGCTGTGCTTCAGTGCTGAAGCCTTGCACACCTGCGCATGCCGGAGCCTGCATTCCGAAAAAGAGGAGGGCCAGTGGGTGGAGTCCCAACCTCAACTGCAGCGGCTTGGCTTTCCTCCCAAGTTCACTCACTCGTAGTACTCAGGGGCAGTCAGGGTGCTGGGCACACCAGCTACTTTCACGGGTCCGCACACCACATGCTTCTGTCAGGAGGAGAGCTGGAGCTCAGGCAGCTGGCGCCACCCTCCAGCAGCAAAACCCACAAGGAACTGAAACTGGGTGCCAGGACTCCCTCAGCCTGTTACCTCCCACCAGGCTTGGCACCTCCCCCTCAAGTCCAGCCCCTGGGGAGACCTATTTTCCAAGTTCTCTAGGATGTGCTTCCAGGCCCCACCTCCTCCCAGGACTCTGCACCTGCTGCTTGTTCCATTCATCAAGCCTAATGTCTCAAGGTCAAGTGTCCCATTCGGCACCAGTCAGCTTGCAGACCCCTGGAAGGGTTTTCAGGTACCCTCAGGTTGGTACGGGAGCTCTATCACTAACCTACCTGTCTGAGAGGAGCGTCATCATCCAGCTTCCACCAAAGAAGGTCCAACTTTTGTTGCTGGAACTCCTCTTCATAACTCACCACGTGTACCACCATGCAGCTGTCTACGCCAGCATCTGGGGCTGCAGCCTATAAGGGAGATTGATAGTCACTGCAGGGCACAGGACACCTCAGTTTGCCAGAGGTGGGCAGGGGAGTCAGTCACTAACCTGGCCTGGGGAGGTGTCGTCAGGCCAATGCTGCACAGCTGCCTGCAGTTCAGCCAGCACGGAGAGCAGATCCTCAGTCACTGCATTGAGAACACAGGCACTGGGGCTAGCCGGGACTGCAGGAGTCCCCCTCTTCTTTCTGGCCCTGCTAGGCTCCAGGTCCTACCCAGACAGTTGTCCAGGTTGGGGTCATAACCAGCTAAGCGTCCCCGTCCTTCCACCAGCTCCTTCAGGCACACACTGCCCAGGACACCGGGGGGCAGGGCTCCCTTGTCATCGGTAGAGGTAAACTCTGCCAGTGCGCGGCTCCACAGGGCTTCCGTTGAGGCTGGCGCCGAGGCAGAGGGCCACTGCACCCGCAGTTGCTGCAGTAATGTCGACATGTCCGGGTCCCGCACCGCGGGCACTAGGCTCACACTTACCCTGCAAGAGCGAGGGCAACTGTTTTAGCCTAAGCTCCCGGTATGTCTCACCCCTACTTCCCACCCGCAGCAGTCAGTCCCCTAGGGCTGCGCTCTCTCCTCTCTAGCCCCACGCGCCCGCTCACCCATGAACGTGCAAAGCTCGAGCAAGATGATCGGCCACGAGCACAGCCCGCAGCTGGCACAGGCGGAGTGAGCAGGGGGCAGCACGCAGCGATGGGCAGTGCAGGAGGACGCGCGGACCACGAGCGGCGGGCGCGGCGGGTGCGGCATAGGCAGCCACAGAGCTGAGCACGCGCTGGAAGACGGCAGACCGCTGCAGTTGGAGCGCCAGGCCCGAGGGTGTTGCCTCGCATCGCAACACCGGGGCCACACCGGAGCCCTGCAGGCGGAGCACAGCATGGACTACAGCTTCCGGCACCTGCAGGGAAGCAGGCCGATAAGTGGGCTGGGGTGTTCCAAGCCACCCTCGGCCACATGTCCCCTCCCGGCCAGCTCCCACCTGTCCATCCTCGAAGCGCGCTTGTAGCGCACGCCTTGGCGCCAGGAAGTCTCGGGCACGCAGGTGGCGGGCGCGCGACTCCTTGAACCACACGGGGCCGCCAGCTCCCAGGGCTGTGTTGAGGGCCCCCAGGGTTTCCTCTACCCCAAGGCGCCCAGTCGCCATAGCGACCGGAAGCGGAAGCAAAATTTTGGGAGGCCAAACTTCCGGAAGAGCAACTGACTGGGCGGGGGATCCGGGCCACTCCCGAGTAGGCAGGTGCACCAGAGGGAAACAGTGGCGACCGCTTTCCACAGACGGCCCCACCAAGGTCCACCTGTTCTTTTGGTCCGGGTCCGAAACCTCGGGGTTCTCTTGGGCTTAGGATTGTTTCGCTGTCCACCCCAATTTGCAACCAGGAGAAGGATCCTCAAGACCTGGTGGGGCCTCTTTCTCTCCTCATTGAAGGCTTACACCTCTGAATTTGTGATAACGTTTTATTTCCATCATTTTACGCATGAACAACATGTTAAAAGTCCCAAATGAATTGTCACTGGAATAGGGCAGCTTCCATTAATGCCACCTTCATGGCCTTTTTTTTTAAACTTTCATTTAAAAAGGAATTTGTTTCGTGGTTTCAGGTTATTTGCAAGCATCTTCTCCTTTGAGACGTCGGTGTTTTATTCCCAATAAATGCCCACTGATAGAATTACCGGTTTTCTCCTCTTGATTCTTGAGGAATCAGAGCCATCATGACGGCTCCTAGAATTGCCAGGTTTGAAAGCGTTCTCCTTTAACCTGGCGCATTGAACAGGGATCCATCCTCCCGCTTCCCGGTTTAGGCTCTGATGGAGCACGCTGCTGCTCTGCCAAACAGAAAGCCCTTCCTTACTCTATGCTGACACCCAAATGTTTCCACTTCAGTATAACTTACTTAAGTCCTCTTTTCCTCTTTAATAAAACTGAAACTGAGGCAACACAGAGGCCTGGGAAAACCATGATCTCTGCTCTGAAGCAGGGCGAGTGCCCAGAACTCAAGAGGGATCCTTAGGGGCAGAAAAAGTTCGGCAGGGCCCCTCTCTCCGCCAGGGACTCAAGGACCTCCTGGGAGGCGCCTAAAGAGCACTGGGCAGATGTGATATTCCCGATAGCTTTTTGGGTGCCTACTCAATGGGAGTGATCCTATCATTCCAAGGAACTTTCCATGTCCTGGCAGGCGAGGGCCTCCAGGACAGCTGTTATCTGGGCTAGCTGGAGACCCAGCCGGGGATTTCAGCCACTCTCGGTACTAGAAAAGAGTTGGGGTGGTTTTTCCCCAGGAAGTGAAGGGCTATCTTTAGCGAGCTGCGGGCTGGGGCGGCCCTGTGGGACTCACCGCCATTGCAGCCCTATCCGGAGGCCCTCGGTATGCCCTCTCTTCCCTCACCAATGCTACCCTGTGTCCCAGAAAAGGCCACCTCCAGTCTTTCTCACGTATAAGCCGCCGTCACTTCCAGCCTGAGGAAGCATCTGAGGGACGGAGATTAGCCGACCCAATGAAACCTGTCTGGTCAGAGGCGCTGACCCACCCCATCTGGACCAGGACGCTGCTCAGGCAGGAGAGCAGGGAACGAAATCCAAGCGCAGCTGGAATGCTCTGGAGACAACAGCTGCTTTTGGGATTCCGTTGCCCGCTGTCCAGCCGTGGGGGTGTGGGGGTGTGGGGGGCGGTCCCTTGCCCTGGGGCCAGAATTGAACCCCTTCATTTTCAGTCCCAGGAGGTGGACCTAGGAGTAGACGGTGAAACCGAGTCTTGTGGGAATGAGGAGCTCACCTGGGCTCCCAAACAATAGGAAGGACGATGAGGACCTCCTCCGGGACCCAGTCCCGTTCCAAATTACACCCGCGGGGTAGGTTTAGTCCTGTTGATCTCCTACGGCCAGAGCCACTTGTGAGGTGACAGTGTCGGGGCGGGCTTGGGGATCCGCCAAGAAGGAAGCGCTCCCGTGGGGCCGGGGAGGAAGTAAACCCGCTCGGCTGCCTCCGGGACACCCCCGCACCCGAAGCCCTTTGTTCGGTGACTATTAGCGCCCGGAGCTCTAGGAGTCCCAATGGGCTAGAACGGCAACAACCAGACCCCCAAGGAATCCAATGAGACCATCCACGTCTGCCTCCCACCCGCTCAGCCCCGCGGACAGCAGACGCGGCCACGTTCCCCTGAAGCCACGACACGGTCAGGTGCGCGGAGACTTCCGAACCCCGCGCGGGCGCCAACAACTCTTGCGCCAGTAGGCCTTGAGTCGGTTCACGTCAGGAGCGGGTGGGACGCAAGCAGAGAGAGGGAAGACAGGGTGCTCTTCCAGCCGATGTCTAGTTCAATGTCTAGTCCGGGTCAGTCCACGAGCTGCCACCAGAAGACCTACTAGTACCCTACCACGGCATCCCCTTCCGCTTGCTCGGGCCGCAGACTGGAACCATTTTAAAGAGAAACCACCCGGCCACGCCCCCTCACGCTCCCAAGAAGCCAATCCACGCGTGGCCACGCCCCTCGGCACTCGCGTCGCCGACGCCAACGGTCGCGCGGGTGACGGTTGAGAAGGGGCGTGATACCTGGGAAAGCGGGGAAACCTGAGCCTCCTGCCCCGCCCTCGCAACCTGACGCCCCCAAACTGGGGTTAGGGGATT